AGTATCGTGCGTTTCATTTTCCCTCAATGAATAACTGTAAATAATTTATTGATGGAATGAGTGGAGTATACTGCATATTTTAGTTGAACACTCTGAAACTCTTGTGGAGATACCGCCAAACAGTATTTGAACATAGAGACATAGGAGAGCTAGTCTACATTTGATTTGGCTTAAAGTAGATTCACCTGCTACTGATGAAGAGAAACTCCTTATCACGTACAGGTTGTATTGAAGAAGCTGTTGTTTTCCTCAGAATTCATTCTTCTAGAATGAACATTGTTCTGACCTTGTAATTGACATTGCCTCTGGGAGCATGTTCAATCAGGAAGAGACTCTGCATAGCATGTTACAGAATGGCTTCTTGTAGGTCTGGAAGGCAGAACAGCAATGCTTATTGTCTCCCTTTTGTGTAAGTTAAGCTGGAAAACATTTGGGCTGTAGGATCTTCAGTGTAAGGTTTGATAACAATGTTAGATTTCTCTCCTTTCTGCAACAGGTAGTGCAGCACACAGTAGCGGGCACAAAGCTACCAATCATGATATGATTCAACAAAGTTGGCAAAAATAAGACACTTTTAAAAAGAAACGGCAGTATTGGTTAAGTCAGAGTGAATCTGTAGGAATGGAAACCTTGGTATTTTTTATTTTACTTTGATAAAATAGAGAGATGTATCTTTCAAAAAGCAGCATCCTGTGTAAACTAAGATTTAAACTTAACATTATTCCTAGTCATGCAGGAAGTCCAGAAGAAAAAGAGCTATGGATAATCAGTTAAAAGAACTGACAGATACCCTGATGTGTTGATCAGTAGTAATACCTAATTTCTATTTCAAGTGTGCTATAATGGATTACCATACAGATGCAGCAAAGCACTAAGCATTAAATAGATCTATGTCTTTTCTGAAAAAGCAATATTATTTCGCACTGTGGGGTTTCTTAAAGTATTTCTTATTAGTGTACTGTGAAACTAGAAACAAGATGTCAATAGCCAGTTTGGATTCACAGCGGCATTGCTAAAAGTCTAGGCTGGAGTGGGAGAAACTGTCATTTGTTTTATAGGAATAGCACTATGTGTGTTTTAGAACACCAGGGTTTGGGAGGGCGTAGAAAATGTTCTTGGAAGTGCTAAGTTGAAAGGACAACAACTGGAGCTTGTTCATGATTTATGCAATCTTACATTACACTGTAACACCATCTTGGTTTGGGAACGCTAATGCAGATGTGTGAAAATAGTTAAAAGGTGTTCTTGCCATTACTTTGAATTGACTTGTAACTTTCAGAAGTTTTTATTTAATAGTGTAGACTTCTAACTGTGATAACTTATTTTTGCATTGCAAGAGCAAATGCAGACTCTTGAATTTAGATTATTTATATTCATTGTGATCTTTCATATCTTCAGTAGGTAGCTGTGATGCTAGCAGTCTAATTTGGTTTTTTTTAAATGACTTCTGTTTACTCTTTGGTGGTACTATGCAGATGATTAATCACATCTTTGCATTTTTTTAAAGTGTATCCCTGTATATATTTTTTTTCCTGTGTTGAGATGCTGAAAAAGAGAATGGCATGAGAAATGACTTAAGTGTCTCAATTTTTGCTATACGAAAAGATTTTTGGGATATGGAAGCTTTCATCAGATAGAACTTATGTCCTCTAACTATTTATTTCAGCCCTTTGATTGTTCTGATTCAGTCACCTGACAAGAGTGTTTCATTGTGTGCTTTTTAAAGAAAAAAAATCTGTAAGCATGTTCTTTTCTTCCCTAGCCCTCCCAGCTTCATGCAATTTAAAGTTTAAGCTTGCTTTTCTTGGTGGTGGTTGTTCTCTTCAACAGCATTTGTTTTCCAGGTTTTCTCTGTGCATAAACTAAAATTCACTGACACACAGATGCAAGAGTTGTTATTATTTTTCAAAATGGGTCTGTATTATGCAGCTTTGTTGCCTTGCCAGTTTATACCTTCTCATAGTTCACGTTCTGGAAGTTAACTTTGTGTTCAAGTGTAGGTGGAATTGTGTAACGTATACGATACTGTCTTTACTGCATACCATTGTGCGTCTGGCCTTGCCCAAATTACAGTCAGTGTGCTTTGGATCTTGCAGAGAGGGTGTCGTAAACCCCAGCTTCCTTCAGTGCGCTATTGTGTTTTGAAACAACTAACAAGTGGTGGTTATTTATTTTGATCCTGAATCAGTTGGGGTGTGTAAACTGTGAAATTACTCTAAGAACATGGCTGAAGCTCTTGGGAAATGTGTATTCTTTCTTTTGGCAACTAAGGAAAACTTATTTGTACAGCGTCAGATTACTTTCACAGACTTTCATGCATCATACATGAGTATGCTGTGCCTAAGTATACATCAGGCATTTGGTGAAGTAGACATATTTTCTTTATTGTAAAACAAAAATTATATTTAGAATTTTACTGAAACATCTGAAATATACTAACATATGCATTTCACTAGTAGCATTACCAGGTTTTGACAAACTTCTAATAAGACGTACTGATCCAGAAGTGGTGTTTGATTTTTTTGGAAGTTTAATACAATTGGTTCTCCAAAGTTAGTGTGTTGAAACAAATGAGAGAATGTACATCCAAAGACAAGCTGAAGGTATCTTGTTAGCGTGGCCTGTAAAAGGAAATTGGTTGCTCTAATGATCTGCTGTACTTATAATTACTTAAACAATGGAAACAAAATATATGTGGTTTTATGTGTTTTTCTATAATAAATATGAAGAAGTTTGAAGTGTGTTCTAATACTTGAATCCAAACCATTTTTTGTTGCCAGTTTGTCTTAGGGTTTTTTTCAATGGAGCCTTTCCTTGTGTGCTTTGGGCATGCTGTGTGTGATTGGTCTAATGTGTACCTGGATACAGACCGAGCTCTGCGTGGAGCGTGCCACTGCTCTTGCAGTGACTTTGAAGTATTCATGATTTAGGTTAGAAGCTCCTTTCTGCCCTTTGCCAAGTTAGATAAAGAGTAATGCCAGAAACAGTCGTGAGAAGTGGTGGGCTGCTAGTATTTTGATATTTAGATGGATAATGATAATTCTTTGTCTGTGGATCCTGCAATCTGATTGGCAGAAACGTGGTCCTTATCTAACAGGTAAAGCCCAAATGTGAATCATGGTTTCATTTTTAGCCAGTCAGATTCTTCATCCCAAGCGCATTCCTCCTGCCCATGGACAGGGAGCTAGACCTCTGGCCACCAGCCTCCCACTCCTTCAGTCCTTGCTGCCACGGTGTCCTGGTGAGAGAGCTGTGGGAGTAATGCTGAAGCAACACGCAACGAGAACATAGAAGGAACATGCCCAATTTATATTTTTATTCTAGGTAAAGTTTTAGAAATGCCAAATACTACTTGGGGAACATGTGCTATGGTAAAGATGTGAAGGAAGACCAGTCTGTCTGTGTGACCCGAGGTCTAGCTCCCTAAGTTTATGAACTTGTCATGACTTCCATCATCTGCCATGGAGAAACGAATGTTCCATTTTCAAAAAAACTCTTATTTGAGTGCTGTATATAATTTCTGAAGCACTTTGTTGTCAAAAATAAAAAAGTCTGTCTTATTCCATCTCTCAAGCATACTGTTTTTAACAGCAATAATGATTCATGTGTTGGCCGTCTCTGAAGGATTGCCTAAAATGCCACTTCTTGCTTCCTTGGCTGTGATGCTTTATCTCCTCTTGTGAGCTTTTATGTGCAAAAGACCAACAAATGGGTCACCGTTGCTTAAATGACTTGTCATTTGTTTTGCATCCTGCATGTAGTATTTCTGAAAACTTATCGGCACTTTGTTGTGCAGAAGTTTGTTCCAATGATTTTGTTTTATAATTACAAGGAGCTCTGTTAGTAATTTATAACATTGTTTTACTTAATTTTAGTTCCAAAAGTAGATGTTGAAAATAGTTTTCCATTTAAATTTATCATCTTAATTTTGTATTTGAATGGCTGAAAAGTTGTAAGACCCAAACACATTTTTCTGTGTTTTGTTCTCTTACATTTTTTGAGAGTGAGTTAGCTGTCCTGTACTGCTAATACACCTACCTGCCGAGCCCTAGTCTATACTGCTAATAGTTTAAAAAAGAGAAAAAAAGGGGGGGGGGGGGGGAAGATATCTTGGAGACTTTGAGCTAAAGTCCTCTTAAAAGCCATATTTACCCAAGTAAGACTCCCAAATAGTTTTGATTTATCCAGATTATTTAATAGCATTGCCATCCACTGAACTGACGAAAAACAACTTGGTAGCCCCAACTGTTCCTGGCAGCTAAGATTGTAAGACTCCATTCAGGAAAGCACTTAAGCATATGCTGACATTGCTTTGCTTTGTTGGTGCGGGAATGGGTTTGACCACAGCCTCATGCTTTGTTTGATCTGCCTCTATTAGGATCAGTCCAAAACTACAGAGGCAGACCACTAATATTATTCCACATAAGTGCTTTATTAACCGCATGTGCTGTGAATTAAATTAGTCTAGCTTTGTGTAATTTGGCTCAGTTTCACTCACCAACTGAAAACACAGGTAAATCATCTCACAGTAAAAATAACTGCACTGCTGTTCGTCTCTGCCTTAGCTGGGAGATCAGAACCCATTAGTTGATGAAAAGACAGACCTAAGCCACAGAAGCTCAAAATCTGGACTGTATCAATCTAACAGTAGTCATTACCAGACACTTCAGAAAAACGTAACCCAGAGTGAGCTGCTTAGAAATCTGTAACTTCTTCACTAGAAATCAGTTTATATTCTGGAATACTAGGGTTTTGCAAGACAGTGGGAAAAGGAAAGCGGTTCATGACAGTGTCATGGTATTTATTCCAAGTATCTTTCTCCGTAACAAGAGAATAGAGTAATGGGCTGGAGTCCTTCCTATGATAGGTATTTGCTTTCTGTTGTGTTCTCTATGTATACATTACCATTTAATTTATGTCTTGTGTATTAGTTTCTCTGTATCCTCTGAATGAGCCAGTTTATTATGGAAAATTTGACTATTTAGTTTTGTTTCCTGCAGAAAATATTGCAGCTACTACCTGAGAGGATTTTTTATCGATGGCATTTTCGCAGTATAGGTAAGAAGGAATGGTTTAAAAACATTCTAGTAAAAATAAAATCAATGTCTTCTGTAGTCACTTCCCTGGTTCTGCAAGTCCTGTTAACCACAGAATCCCTTAGTATTGCCCATGCACAAATAGTACTTGCCTGTGAGACTTGCAGCTGAGAATTCTTGAAGCATACAGAAAATCTTTTTACCTGCTGTAACAGCTCTGTGTGTTCCTTGTTTTGTGTGGTTTTGGTTGCCTGCTTCATTTTTCTTTTGCACAAATGCTCTTTAAATCTTTATATTCTTGGACTTACCTGGGTCCTCTTCCCTTTCTTCTCTTTCATGTCCTAGAAGCTATCAAGATGATGGGGGTTATGAACCAACTCACCTTTTTCTAATTAGATCTCCCTTTGTATTCACAGACTGACACCAAAAATTAAGACTAGGGAGGGATGTGGAATCTCTGTGACTCTCTTGCAAATGTGCGTTATGATAGTCTTTTGCAAGTGATCGTACATGAGATGCCCGTACAAATTCATACCTGTTGCTCTTTGCCTAACCATACATACTGTGGTGAACTTGACCCTTGCCTCCTCCTAGAAATTGATTCTGTAAAACTTATGCTGTGAATAAAGGTGGCTGTTTGGTAGTTGAGCACAGGCTGTGCTAAGCTAAATGCAAGCCACTGGACTGCTGCAGTGAACAGGAGATTAATTTATTCTCTGATATTCCTGTGTTCTCTGTGCAGTTCATTAATATTTGTGAAACACTCAGTTGTCACACTATTTGTGGCAATTAAATGAGGAATTTCTGATTTAGAGATGGAATAGTGAAAGAAGGAGATTTAAGGACAAAAATATAAACTTTTTAGTAGCTCTTTTTGATCTATTTTTCTTTTAATGAGTGGTCCACAATTTTGCTGGCCTTTAGAAGTGGAATTATGAATACGTGGTATTTCTGCAAGTTTGGCCCCAGCTGTCTTTCACTGATTTTGATATATTGGAGGATTTGCCAAGCATCACATTAAAATACGGCATTGGCCATGGCAGACACAAGATACCTATGGATGGCATTCACTTGGTCAAGCCAAGAGACTAGCCATTCTTTCCCCACGCTCCTATGGTATTTACTTTACATATTCTGGCTTCTGGAGCAGGGGAGGGAATAGAAGGAGTCCAGCAGAGAGAAATCTTGGAGTTAGTAAAGTTCTGCCTTTTTTTTTTTTTTTTTTTTTTAAATCTCCTGTCCATTCTGCATGCTTTGTGAGGCAGGTTGTTCTTCAGAAAAAGACTTTGTAAGCATGCAATTGAAGATTGTATTGCAACGCATGCATAAAAAAGAACAAAATAAAGTTGCCAGCTTAGTTAAGGCACTCAAGATAACAGATCTCTAACAGGCTTGGTTTAGTCACTCATGAACTTGAGAAGTCTAAATAAGAAAAGCAGGAATAACTGTGAACAGCTATCATGTTTTTTAGGAGTTTTCATATAGGACTTTCAACTAGATTTTAAAAGTAGATTCAAACATTAATGCTATGGGGAAAAAAAAGTTGTGTTGTCTTTAATTTGAAGATAGTCAACTTTTTAATGATTTATTCCCTGTGGCTTACAGTGTTTATATAGTGAATGTTTTGACCTTCTGATCATGTATAGGAGCCAGAAAGCAAAATTTATTCCTCTTCTCATTTGACCAGATTGAATAAAGCTTGAGTCAAATGGGTGCAGCAATATTGAAAGGTGAAGTACCTTTATTTGGATGGTCAAAGCATCTGGAAATTCAATGAAGTCATTTAACTTGATATTTTCCTCTGAATTAAACATCTTTGATTCATCAGTACTTGTAAATTCTGCTTCTGAATGCTACAAAAGTGGTCGCAATGTTTTGTTTTGCTGTTTGTTAAAGTAAATCTTATGCTGCTTTGGAGGGGGGTTATATTTCTTCTAAGTAGTACTTTTTTGTTGTGTGCTTTGGTTTCCAGCACTATTTCATCAGCTGCAATGTTTTTCATCAGAACAATGAATGTGCTGTTGCAGAAGAAATAATGAGTGGAAGTTAAAGGTCAAGGAAAGGGCTGTTGTCACATTTCCAGTTAGCACTGACAATAATAAAAGGAGACATCTGCTTGACCACTTTACTACCATTTCACCTGAATTAGTCCAGAACAAATTGGTTTTAGTCGGCTGTTTTATAGCTAATATATTCTTTATATTTATGCTTCTCTTGAATAGTCATATTTGGATAATTTTTTAGCTGTGTTCAATAAATAATCTACAAAATTTGTCAGTGCAATTATTTACAGCTGTATGTTGTGATTTGCTTTTTGTTTAATGTTCACATGCACTAACATACATTTTCTCTGTATGTTAATAATTTCCTTTTAGTCATGTGAAATGGCAAGATCTTGAGGGAGGGATCACATTTAAGGAATGTACATAATTCACGAATCCAGGAAAAAAACCAGCTGAGAGCTACATTGTGTTATTTTTCTCAGAATTGAATTAAAACATTTTTTTTTTAACTGAAGCATCTGATGTATAATCTCTCTGATTTTTAGATCAGACGTTTTAAGTTCAGGGCAGTTAGCCTGGTATTTCCAAAACCAGAATAAAAATATTTTGCATTTTTAATAGTTGTGTTTTGTAGACATGAATGTAGTATAGATTGCTAGCATCTTTTTCTTCTCATTCATGTCAATATTAGTGTATTTGAATGCATTAATCATGCAAGTTGGACTTTTTGATTTCTCCAAATCTAGTAAGTCAAAATTTCCCCACAGGTATCTTACTTTTAAGGGAATTAATTTGAGAAATTGTCATCTGACTAAAACCAAAGTACCTCACTGTAAAGATACATTATATTTAATCTTATAACACTGATGATGATGACAGTGATTGTAATTAGATTCACTTTGGGTTTTTTCACACCATAGTTTTCTTAAACACCAGTGCAGTAGCCACATGGTAAATGGAATTAAATGACCCTTTTCTGTAGTATTTTTTAAAAAAATATTACGGTGGAAAGTTACCATCTTAGTATCTGATACGTGCCTATTTAATTTTTCTAATCCAGGGTCAATTCTGAAGAAACTTTTGCATACTGGAAATTCTCTCAAGGTATTTATCTTTGATGGTGTATTCATATTTCTTTTAACTTTAATTCTTATGAAGCATATTACTTTACAATTTTCTGATATGTGTTTTTCAGATTGTTAGGCTTTGTAATTTTACTTATTCACTTTTTAATAATAAATTCTATTATTGTAATCCTAGATTATTTTAATATTTATCTTAAGTAATTTTGCTGTTCTAATGATGTTTGTAAAGTTACCTGGAGAAGGTATCGATACATTTTGTTTAATACTTTATTTTTTCATATCTCTCTAGCGTTGGGGATACTGTATTAAATGTATTGGTTTCTTGTTTGCCAAAGGGTTTTAAATACATTTTTCTTTTTCCAAGTACGTTGCTAAAGTTCAAATTCTATCGTGTTAATAAAAGTAAGTCGACTTACTGAATACTCTACCTTGGGTAGTTTTGCTGCATCTCAGTTTTCAGGAGGATCTTCTGATCCCTGTCACGTCGAGGACCATAGCTTGCTTTGACCTCTGTGGGGCCAAGTTTGCAGACTCAGTAGGGCACAAAGTATTGGCAGCTCCCTGGTTGTGCATTACACTTGCTGTTGTACTTCCATAGCCCGTTTTAAGATTGAGTCTTGAGACCAGCCAAGATGCATTTGGCACCAGGAACTGCAGGAGTGGAACCAGAACTTTTTGGCCTCTGGTTGAAGCTGGAGTAGTAATGCTGTCTCCTTGGAGTGCCCCCACCTTGGGTACAGCCTGCTCCCACCCTCGTCTGCTCATGATTAAATTAATAATGTGATTACTCCTGGTGTGATGGAAAGACTCTCTAGCACATACCTGGGATGAAAGTACTTGCCCGCATTTTCTTAACTATTTAACTGTGCTACTGTACTGGCAAATTTGTTTTAATATATTTTTCTACAAAATTATCCCCTTGTAGATAAGATGTGAAGGAATCCGGCTGTTTCTTCTCTGGCTTCAAGCGCTTCAGACTAACTGTGCGGAAGAGCAGATATTAATATTTGCATGCCTTGTGCCTGGCTTTCCACCCATTATGTCCTCACGAGGTCCCTGTACACTAGACAGCCTCCTCAGTCCTCCTAATTTGCCCGACGGTGAGTAAATGAACAGAATTTCCCTGGTGGTTGTATTGCCTCCCCTTTCCACTGAGGTCGTTGTGGAGCTATAAAGTTCCTTGTGGGGATGATACTGTTTGTCTTTATAATTCATAAGAGTGTTGAATTTGTCAAGCTATTGTATTTGTAGCAGCTGTGTAGCCTTCTGATCTTGTCATTCTGAGTTCAGAACGGTTGGGTTTTGTTGGTTTTTGCTTTGGTTTTTTTGAGATGCAGCTATATGAACATGTTACTGCGAAATATGTAGGTGTGTAGTTTTACACCTTGTTGGTTAATCTGCAGCGATTGCTTGTGTTAACCCATCCAGGCTGCACTAAATTGGAGGTTAGTGCCATCCTCCACTGTATGGAGTAGGACTTGGGGAAATATGGGAAGCCCAAGCAGTTACTGGACTTTTTACAACTTAGTAGCCCATTAATGATTATTTTAAAATTAATCTTTTTATAGAAAATTTATTTTATTTAGTTATTTCCAAGTTTTCTATGTTTAAAACATTTTCTTTTTATTTTAGCAAAGATTTTTCCGGAAGAGATAACCCCACTTTTGCCAGCTGTCTCTGGAGAGAAAATTGCTGAAGACCAAACCTGCTATTTTCTTCAGCTACTGTTAAAATATATGGTAATTCAGGTGCGGAGGATATGTTTTTAACTACTCATATTTGGAGGAATGTCCTTGTTGGTAGAACATTAAGTCTACGCTGTATCTGTACAGAGCTGGTTTTGCCGCTCCCCAGGAAGAAGCTGTCTTCTGCACTTTCTTGTTCTTGTTTTTAAAAAGAAAATAATCCCAAAGGTATTCCCTTGTGCCATTTTTGTGAAAATAAGAAGTTTTTCACACTTCTGATAAGAATTAATGAATGTTATCCAAGCTTGCAGGATAACTGACTTTCTTAGGTGCTTGTGGTCCCACTTACAAAATTGATATGGGGTAGAGATGCAGGTTGTTCTCTTTAGACACGTACATAGCTGAGAAGACTTGTAAAGGAGCACTGGAGAAAGAGATAAAAAAGGAGAGATGGCTTCTGAGATTTTTTTTTTTGTAAAGGCTGCAAATAACATATAAATAAAAGATTTTAATTAAAAATAGATCAGATTAATCTGTACAGGAAAGAATTTAAGATAATGTATATATTATAAAAAGCACGAGTTAAGCAACATTTTAAATTAAGTGGAAACTGTATAGACAATGAACATTACTCAGTGTTAAGAAAAAAGAGAAAAGATAACAAAATACTTTGAGGTACTTTTTTTTAATATATGTATAAAAAGGCAAGACCGAAATGATATTTGGAAGGGGTTTTATCATCTTGAATAAATGCTTGATTTTGAAAAGTGGCTGTATGAAATTATCATCTTCCTACATGGCACTCTTTGTTTTACATATCAGAGTCTCACAACACTTTGATTTCCACTGTTGTTTTTAGACACACATTTGGGATCTGAAAACTGACTGCCCTATAAATCCAATTGCATTGTTGTTCATCAACATTCAGTTAGTTGTGTTGCCTAGTAGAGGGGAGCACAGTTGGGCAGTAACCTTCTTGCTGTAGGCAAGAGATGAGATTAAAAGAATCTGATGCAAGTGCAGAATGATTGCTGAGAGCCAGAACATAGAACAAATCTACATCTTCAGGAGAACTTGTCTGCGACTGGATAGAGTTTAATATGAGCCAGTTTATTTACGTAACAAATGAAATTATACAGAAACTCACTAGTCTTGTTTCCAGGCTCTACATGTCTATTTTGCAAAAGTAGGACATTGCAAATTCCACAATTTTTTGAGGTTTGGAAAAAGATCTAGTACAGATTAAAATAAGAAGATGTGTTTAATAGGAAATGAATAAATCTTGAAATAAATAAATCTAATGACTTATGTAAACAAGTCAGTTTTTCTTTAATAAATTATCATCTTGGGTATAGATTCAGTGAACTTGTTGTCTGCTATATACAGCTGGACAAGCTTTTCTAAGTTTTTACTGAAAAAAAATTTAAGAATTCTGTAGGCTTTTGATGTTGCTTAAAAAAAGAAAAAAAAAAGAGGTGGACCTGAATTTAAAGTATATGTCAAAAGATAAACACTTTTAGTGCTTACCTGAGTTTAACAAAAAGAGAAGTGATATAAGAGACTAAAACCCAGGGAAGTTTAAGTCACCAGTGGGAAAAGTGCTTCGCTGGAGAGATGTCTACTTTTACCTTTCTTATTGGAAATTCTATTGGATTTTCTTACACAAATAAAGAAAACACACCCACATAGGTTGTGTGCAACTTATTTCAGTTGAAGGTGGTTTAATATCAAAAGAGCAACTCTGTCAAAATTTGGCACAGTCTTCCAAAGGATTGTAGTTCAAAACTGTTGGTAAAGAGCAGCTTGAAAGTACATGTACGACTCTCTTTGGTGTTGATCTATGCAAGAATGGAAGAGTACCTTTCAAACAAACTTGGATGTCGCCTTCTTCCTTGTCAGTGGAAATTAATTGCGCCTTGAGTCAAATTTTGCAAAGTAGTATTGCATATGTGTTTGCAACTGTGTTAAACATGGGCATTGGGTATGTTTCTGAAGACAGACGTGTTTGTGATAAAAGTGTAGCCTGGGGCAACTTTGTCTACATTTACAGGGAAGAAGCAAACTTATTAAAAATATTAGCACAACATTTTCTGTGCTTCGCTGTGTTAGAACAGCATAAATATTCTGACTTCTAATGAGCTGGCTTTCTTTGATATGCTGATACCCTCATGGTAATATCTTATATTCTTACTGCAGTTTGTAAAGTTTTTGGGGACAATGCTGATTTTTATCTCTCTCGTTAAGGTGGAATAGTTTCTTTTATATTCAATGTGGAATGACTGTCAGTATAACATGTTAACTTAAAGCTTTTTGTTTGTTTCTCTTTAATGCCGTGACAAAGGCTGCAAGCTTGGAATGGAAGAATAAGGAGAACCAAGACACTGGTTTTAAGTTTCTCTTTACCTTGTTTAGAAAATACTATCTTCCTCACTTGTTTCCATCTTTTACAAAGCTAACCAACCTTTACAAACCTGTTCTTGGTAAGTAGAAAAAGAAATAATGGTGACTGTTCTCAGTAACATCTCTGTTACTTGCTGGCATATCGCTACAGTTCTGTTGGATTAGTGTTTTTCCTCTCTTGTCTCACATTTTGTTTTTTTCCTAGCACAGCTTCTGATTTTCTGAGATAGTGCAGGAAGCTGCTGCTTCTCATCACTGCATAAGGGCTGGCCTGATTCTCCTTTCCTTAAGGACATTTCCACTGGCATAGCATTGATATCGAGTGAACGAGGACTCTAGCTATGATATGTAATGAAGACAGAACATGATCTCTGATGGGTTTTTTAAAGAATCAGCAAAATGCCCAAGTTTGAGGGAGGAGCTAACTCACTCTTATTTTACTTCTTGTTTCCTTGATGAGAAAATGAGCATGAAGGGACAAATGAAAGGAGATGTACATCTAGAGTTGTAGGATTAAAAGCATGTTATCTCAGAAACGCTCATGTTTTTCCTAATTTTCTACTGAATTATGTATTAGAGTCCCTAGGAACAGTGGTGTTAATACTCACCTGATGTACTGCAGTCTCTTCTTCATCATCCTTCCCCTCCCTCATCTGACTTTTAACTCCTGTTCTTTGCAGTTTAATATTGAATGTCTAAAATCCCGTCAGTGCCTCTTCAGCTGTGTTGTTCACAGCTAGAGACCAGGCCTTCCGTGTTTTCCAGCTGTGTACAAGTGATTTTTCCCTAAATCTAAGCATATGAATGAATTGTGACCCAACCTCTCTCCCTTCAGCAATTTCCCACTTCTTCCCGTGTGTTTTCCTTCTTGTAGCTCAGCTTTTGCAGTGCTCTTTGCACCTGAGTTAACTTCTCTTTCTGATGCACGTCTTAATCTTTGTGCTGTTAAGTGTTCCAGAGCCATCTTCTCTTTCTCACTGTACTTTACTAATCAAACTCGGTGAAACTTATAAAATTAACCTCCGTTGTAGCAGGAGTAGTTCTTTGTTTCAGATTTTGCCCTTCTTTTTGCAGCCCTTCTCTTTGGCTTTCCTTTGTTCTGTGTGATACAAATTATAACCTTCAGGAAAGATCTGTGCTTTTATGTTCTTGCTTTTATTTAGGAGTAATAAAATTATGGTAGAATATAAGCATTAATATAGTAAAAGCAGTCAGTTGTTGCATCTGTTATTTCATATGGAGATAATGTTGTTGGTGACGTGTTCAATACGTTTAATCAGAGTCAGGAAGCAATTGCAGTTTTTTCAGATTAGATTTTCTTTATATCTTACCAGATATTCCTGATATGAGACCAAGACCAGTATACATTACTGCAACACAAAACAATGAAAATGTCTATAGTACAAAAATTCCATATATGGCAGCTCGAGTTGTTTTTATTAAGTGGCTTGTTACCTTCTTTCTTGAAAAGAAATATTTAACTGCTGTTCAGAATACAAAAAATGGAGGAGAAATGCTCCCTAAAATTATTCAGGTATGCTTTAAAGTTTACCTCTCTTTTCTTATGTACATGCTAACCTTGCATAGAATTTTTTTTTTTTTTTACTCATACTTGCTTGCCTTACTGACTTCATCAGTATTATGTTTATACTTTTGGAATTTAATCTGTAAACTGACAAATTTGTTTGTGCCATGGACCATTTCCCAGCAACATCAAAGGCTGCTGTTTTGCTTTTGGTTATAGCAGCTGTTTACAATGAAATAGTAGAAAAATATTTCACTTTGCAGTTGCTGGTTGAGAATTCTCTAGGATTAGTGACTTCACAATGAATTTTATAGAAGTAGATGCTTTTCCTTTAAGAGCCTCTCCAGCTTCCTGTTAAAAATTTAGGATCAGTGTCAACTTCTTCTCTTGAATCATAGGTCAGTGTCAAATCTGGATTCAGTGGAAAAGCATACATTAACTATTATGGTAGAACTGTGTATTTTCGTGTTGATTGTTTTTGGAGTTCTTCACTGTAGGAGTTTGAAACCCTAAACCAGCTAAGTGTAGCTTATCTCCTGAAAGTGCTTTTTTTTTATTGGTCTTTTCTTTCTAATTCGAAATTCCACCTTTTGTATAAACTGTTATGCCATTCCAACAGACATAGCCCAGAAAATGAATTTTTTTTTTCTTTTCACTGAATTTTATAGACAGCTGACACCAAATAAGTATTTAGATTCCATAAAGGTATTGCTGCCCTAAACATGGAAACCGGTGGAAAGTTGTCTCTCATCTGAAGCTGTGTGCTAGCTTTTGGCACATGTTGACTTCTTAGTGGCTTTGAAGTTCACTTACTGTAGCTTGTGTCTGAATGTGTGACTGAATCTTAACCAAAAAGTTAATTGTGAAAAGCAGCAGAGATGTTATTGCTGCTGTGTTACTGCTCGCTGGATTGAACAGAGGGCAGCCTTATTAACGTAAACATAAGAACTGCATTTGGGTGATGCTTTGAGTTAGTATAAGTGGAGTTCTTTTCCTGGTAACTCAAAGTTTGTGGGTGTTTTTTGTTTGGGTTTTTGTTGTTTTTTTTTTTTTTTCCCCCCCTAGTCCTTTCTTCCGACGGGATCATTTTAGCCGGACACAGTTTGAGATGTTGCAAAATACATGCAATGTCAGAAGAAAACCTGACAAAGAGTTGTCAGGAATAATAATGTGCAAGAGTGTGGGCCACGTATAGTGTTATGATCCATCTTTTCCCAGACATCAAGGGACTTGGAGATTCTTCTGCGCTGTCTGTGCTTTCCTCCCCTCCCACCACTGCACCCCCTCCCTCTTTTTTGTCTTCCAGAGTGGACAAGTCAGTCAGCTGTTCTGGGCTGGGGGGCACACATATCAAGTCTACATTATGTAGAGTATAAAACCAAATTCCTTCTTGGATCAAGCAGTACAATGAAAATTACACTTCCTGACTGCTGTGATCCCAGTGTGGTGTGTGAAAAAGAGCACTGGTATCTTGAGTTCTGTATAAGTATTCCTGGTTTTTGGTGTGCACTATTTCAGTTATTTAATTAGGTGTGCATTTTCTTCTGTGTAGACTGCTGGTGCTGTAAACCAAGATAAAAACACAGAGCTGGAGACCAGTCTGTCTTATGCAAGTGAGCAGGAGAGAAGCCACTCTAACAGCAGCACCTTGTCTGACAGAAGGCTCAGCAATTCCAGCCTCTGCAGCATCGAAGAGCAGCACCGGACTGTCTATGAGATGGTGCAGAGAATCCTCTTATCCACTCGAGGATATGTTAACTTTGTTAATGAAGTGTTTCGACAAGTAAGTATGTATGCTTAATTGCTGTTGCATTTTTTTCTTAAAGGAAAAGTCATGGTTATGGGAAGGAACACTGAGAAGGCTGTTGGTCAGGGTGACTGGTCAAACTTGATGCTGATCACACCAGCACCGTTTTCATTCAGAGTCCTTCTAGGTCTAGGCTGAATGACAAAATTGTGAAATTCTTACAGGAACTGAAGCTTGTTGCTGATGCCAGATGGCAACATGTCTTATTTGAGTGGGCCACTTTATTTGTTCTTGGTGTTATGATGTCATTTAAAGGTGTGCAAGGAGCTATTAGCTTGCAAGTTTATTTTTTGAGTTAGTAAGATAATTGTTCCTGTAGTCGATATCAGTATTTAATGTCTATTTGAACACTGATTGCTTCTATTAGTATTTTTCATTAATTTGATGTCTTTTCAGTTGTTTTGGATAAAAATACATGTTGACGTACTGGAGAGTCCCAAATTTTTTTTTTGTCCAGTACCAAGGTAGAAATTGTCTGAAGGAGCAGTTCCAGGTCACATAAATGTGCAGAAGATGCTTTCCAGCAGCTGAGTGAGCACACATGCTTTACTGTGAAGTATCCTGCGTGGCGCGGTTTAGGAACATCTTGTACCAGTGCTTTTCAGTGAGACAGATGGCATTTTGACAGGAAGGAGTACTTTTGTGGATGTTAAGAGCTGCTGTGGCATGCTGCCCTCTCCTGGTGCTTGTTCAGAGCATGTCAGGTTAGACCAGCTCCCAGGGAGCAAAGGCTAACGTGATGCAGGACTTTTATCTTTAATCAACATGGTCAGTGCTCAGTATTTGAAACAGATAATGGTATTTGGATCGTTTTTATGTTTATCTGCCCCTTACTTTGAATTCCTCTACTCTTGTTTTTTTTTCCTTTCTATCATACTTAGCCTTTCTGAAAGCATCCTGCGTGGTGCCCATTCATCCTGCTGATGATCTGTTTCTCTAACATTCTAGCAGTTGGCTTCTGGCTTTTTCCATTTCTGCATTCTTAAGTTGACAGTGGTGTGAAGATATTTTCAGAAATTTCACATACTTGCTGTATGGCATATTTGAACTTGTTTTTCCTAACCCTTCAATTTCTGTTGAAATCAGCTGTTGGATGTTGCACTTCATGCTGACTGGAGACAAGGAGGTGTACTATGTGATGCAGAGGTTTCCCCCAACCTGAGCAAGATACCTTTGTGATGTTTTTGCAGCTAAACTGCGTATAGGAAATGCTATAGTTTTTGACCCTGTTAATAATGGAGAGTGGGTAATCTCTTCATAGTTGAAAGGACCTATTTTATAGTATGAAAAATGTATTTTCATCTCACTTAGTGGTTTTATAATATAGTGCATATTGATATCAACATTTTTGTGTTGGCAAAATACACTTTTGTACCATATGACATTTTCAGATATTGATTCCTGTGTCTGTTCACTGCAGTGCAAAGGTCTTCTGTCACTAGATTTTTTTTTTTTTTTTTTTTTGGTCTCCTAAGACCTCCAGAAATGTGAGGAAGCAGCCAGTCTGGCCTCTGAAAGCTTTCAGATTGATGATTCTAAATACAGATATTGAGTAGCACGTTGAAAATAAATTCATTGTGGTGCTTTCCAAAACTGTAGTGAGAAAGGATCAAATGCTAGCCATGGTTATCCTCATCATGACTTCATGCCTGGTCTCTACCTACACTTGCTGAAATGGCATTTCACGTCATATACTGCTGAAGTAATTCAAAGTGATCTTCTCCAGAAAGCGTAGCATAGTACCTAAGTCTAGCCCACCAGACCTCTATGGCTAGTAATGGCTTGTGAGATGAATCCACGTTAAGTTAGACAGCTTGCAAGGAGCAAAGACAACCTCTTTGGTTTTGTCTGAATAAATACAACGTGGTAGTAATTTGGAATTAATAGTTATGGAATTGTGAGTGATAATAGGTATAGGCACAGGTTGTTGATTAGTCGTAATTCCTTCTAGTACAGACAGAAAAGTAAAAATCATGTATCCGTTCTTTTTTGAGCTGTATTATTTATGAGTTTTGGTGTGTGGGTGTGTTTATATTATGCATGTACATCTGTGTCCTATGTATAGTAAAATCAGTTAACTTGTCAATTTAGGCTTTTTTATTGCCACCTTCTGATGTATCTGCAACACGAAAAGTGGTTAAGGTATATCGAAAGTGGATATTGCAAGAGAAGCCTGTGTTCATGGAGGAGCCAGACAAAAAGGAAGACAGCCAGGATGCTGTTGTCAACTTAGAGGATTCATCAGTGGAAACAGATGGTAAACATGTATGGTATCAGCATTACTGACTTTATTCTGTTCACCTACAATATACGATTTAAGACTTAAACTCACTTTGTAAATCACTAACAATTTTAAAAATGTGTGGAAAATCAAGATGAAAAAATGCTTTTATTTAAGGTCCAGAAATTTAAATCAGTATTGAGTGTTCAGTAGCCCTTACTGAATTCAGGGAAAGACTGCAGCTATTTTGAAAAATGTTAATTGGTTGATTATTCCCTGTCTATACAAATATGGTAGCAAGAACTTCATGGAAGAAATACTAATGCGTTCTGCAGTGTTAAAATTGACACTCGCTGTTGGCCTAATGCATGTAGGACTACTTCCTTTTGGTGGTAGTTACTTAAGAATTTGAAAATATCTACTGATTTGTATATACTGGATGACGTGTTTGGATTCAGACACCTTAGTCTAGGAGATTAAAGTGTAGACACAAATTCTGTGCATCATCTGTTTAGTATCCTATATTGAACCATCAGTAAAAGTTGACTTTGACACTATTGACACTGTACAGCTATTTAAAGGGAAGTTTTGTTGTGCTGAGGAAGAAGTTTGAGTTGTAAAAACAGTGAGAATAACAAGGTTTTGACAGATTATTTTTGTAGGAGATTTGTGGTTTTGCCAGGCTTAAATTAAAATATTACTGCAATCAATGAATACAGAATGTGCTATAAAATATTTTAAATAGCATAGATCTTAAAACTTTAATGAACCTTTAAATTCCATATACTGTCTGTCTGTTCAGAGATAAAAAAATAGTAGACGTGAAGTGAATGTAGGACATGATAGTTCCCCTTTTTTTTCCTTTTGACATTTTAAATGATTTTGAATAAAGATAGACATACTCCTTTCTGCTTTGTCACTAACTGAATCATGTTTTTGAAAGCTTTCCTCTGACCATTCAGGACACAAGCGCTCATCCAGCTGGGGAAGAACGTACTCCTTTACCAGCGCCGTTAACAGAGGATGTGTGTTAGAAGATGAGGACAAAAATGTTAAAGCTGGTGCTCAAGCTGCCTTACAGGTGTGGTGGTGTGTAGAAAGGTTGCAAGGCTGTGATTTACGTAATCACATAATTTACACTACAAATTATAGTATAGTCTCTGAGATTAAGGAAAGCATCTACCAGCGGTTGATGGGTTTTGTAAGACATGATTTGGACTTCGTTTATAACTTTTAAAAAAGTGTGTGTTAAACCGTGTGGCCATATCTTAGAGACAGATAGCTATTTGAAGACAGGAGGCTCATTATTTTTCTACTGCGGGTACTAGGAATTAATCAGAACTATATATCTGCTTTTGCTGAACCTCATTTGTTGGAAATATTAGTTGCTCAAACATAGGGGAAATGAGTAGCTGGAGAACTGTATGCTTGCCTGGCTGAATAGAAGAGACACCTGCCAAACCCATCCTGTGTAACGCATGCCTTTGTTGGGTCTGTAATGCCACCTGACTTTTCACTAGGTTCATGTGGAAAAATTCAGTGACAGGTAGAACATAAACCTTGCTCTAAGGAAAGTGAAAGGTTTGACTGGAGGAGGACAAGTATTTTGTTGTAAGTCTGGACTCTTTTTATTCCTGACACTACATGAACTGACTGTAAATGCCTGTTTTGAAGGTATTCTTGACAAACTCTGCAAATGTTTTCTTACTGGAACCGTGCATTGAAGTCCCTGTGCTTCTGAAGGAGCAAGTTGATGCTTGCAAAGCAGTTCTGAGTATCTTTAGGCGCATGATAATGGAACTATCAATGAATAAGAAGACATGGTAAGCTTAATATGTTCTGCATCATTTAAGAGAAAATTACTAACATTTAAACTTTATGGGAGAATTATGGGGTAGGCAAAAGACTGGCTTTCTCGGGGACAGACCTTAATACATAAGTCATGCTTGTGACTTGCTTCTGAATTGAATTGTGAGATGGCAGGTTCTGCTGAGTCTACGTCATTCTACTATTTTGACTTCAAGGTTCTGGCTAATGTGTCCATTCCTGACTTCACCTTCTCAGAAATCAGTTTTTACTGTCCACACTGACTAATGTTATTTTGCAAATGATCTGTGAAGTCTGAAGTGTGGTCACATTATCAATAAGTAAAGCTTACTGGAGAATTGAGGCATTTTTGGTACATGAAAATTAACAAGTACAATTTTGTTTTGGAACCAGGGAACAGATGTTACAGATACTCCTTAGAATAACAGAAGCTGTGATGCAAAAGCCGAAAGAAAACCAAATAAAGGATACATTTGCTCAAAGCATGTCGGGGTTACTTTTCCGAGTGAGTGTTTGGGTTTTTTATGTTGGTTTTTCATGATGATTGCCCATAGTTTTAGTTAAGTGCTATTGCACAATACTATGAAACCTACTCGTAAAACACAAAAAAAATTCTCCCTTGCAGTAGTACAAGTAATTATTTTGTAACCTGTTCCTAACAGAGGGAGATAGATTCCAGGTGCAACGAGCAGTTGATTTGATCAGGGCTCTATTACAAACTGTGGTAGGGCATGCAGGCACGCAGTCTCTTTCTGGGATATGTTCAATAACATCTCTAAAGTGTAAGCTTCATGTAACTGTTTCCCTAGAAGTTCAGCTGGCGAGTCAAAACTGAGTCACATTGAATGAGATTAAAACATTTGTACATCATATTGTACTTTGCATGCTCAGCTACAGTATCCAGGTCCGAGTGTCACCGGCATAGCTCAATCACTGCAATTATTCTGTAGATACAAGAGACAGTTCTTCATTCTGTTATTGTTACACACAGTGTATTGTTTCATTTTATCAGAGAACGTATAGATGGCCTGAAACATGCGTTCGGAATTTTTAGATTTCCTAGTCAGTAACTTTCACCAATTTCTGGGAGTGTGTTTTTTTTGATGAGAACTAGCTATTTGCAATATCTGTGCATCATAATCAATGCTGATGTGCAGGTTGATGTTGACTTCATCAACATGGGGGTTGGGGTTGGTGTCCTGAATTCATCCTGACAGAAGTGCATGAACTGTCCCTTGTTTCTTTTCTCTCAGACCCTCATTGTGGCTTGGATCAGAGCAAACCTGAGTGTTTACATTTCTCGGGAGCTGTGGGATGAGCTGCTCAGCGTTCTCTCTGCCCTGACAGATTGGGAGGAGCTCATAAACGAGTGGGCCAATATCATGGACTCTCTAACAGCAGTGCTAGCAAGAACTGTGTATGGGGTAGAAATGACAAACTTACCCTTGGATAAGCTCAGTGAACAAAAAGAAAAAAAGCAGAGAGGAAAAGGTTAGTCTCTGTTTCAGTGCTTTTTGTATCAAACAAGTTAAATATTTAAACTTAAAAATTAATTCAGTTTAATCTAACATTATATACTACTTAATCTAGTGTAAGAACCTGTTTAATGAAATGTGAAGTGCTTTGGATTTATCTATTCTCATCCTTCATGGTGGGAGGAGAGGTAATTGGGGTCAATAGAAGAACTGCTATTTAGCAGTTTTTAGTACGCGCTTAGAATCAGAAATGAAACATGGTTTCCTGTGCTGTAATCTGGCATAGTCATAAATGTAAAAATTCTTTCCATGTATTTTTATTTATTAAACTTTATTAATTACAGTAATTTAGCTACGTTTATGTGCCACCTTGCCGTTGATGCACATAGCTGAAGTAGTGATTTTTTTAATAATAGTGAAGATTCATCTATGTTGTTAAAATTTTTCATGTCTGAGTGTTTGTAAGTCTATTCATACTTTTAAGAAAAATATGTGCCAAAGCATACAATGATAGTGAATTTAGTTTTCTTTATCTCTAAGGTGGCATTTTAGAACCTCAGAAGACGGCTGTAGTGGGAAGATCTTTTTCATTAAGCTGGAAAAGTCATCCTGAAGTTGTGGAGCCAATGAGATTCAGAAGTGCTACGACCTCTGGAGCCCCAGGCGTTGAAAAAGCAAGAAATATTGTGCGTCAAAGAGCAACAGGTTAGATCACAGCTAAATGCTTATCTTCCCAGATGCTCAGTAGCACTCAAGTTTTAAATATGCCTTTGAGTTGTGGCTGCTTCCAAAAGTCATGCAACTTAATAATTAAATGCCTAAACACAGATGATGTGCACCTGTGTCCGCATGTCTTGACCATGACCAGGATGAATAAAGAATAAAAAGAATTTTAGAAAATTCTGAATATATGCTTTTAAATACATTGCATTAATTGCAAGTTAGTCTTTTGCAGGTTAATTTTTTTTGTAAAGAAGTACATTCCTATTTTTATCAATTCATAAAAAAGCATTTATTAACATCAATCAGATAATATATATTGCTTCTCAACTTTCATACATAGCACAAGGTAAACCAGATATTTAATAAACAATTTCATCCTTTCTTATTTGCTCTATTTGCTTTCTTTTTATTAGCATTATGAGGTACGTAAAATATCACCTTTTCCTTTTTTCTCTCATGTTTACTTCCAGAAAGAGGAAAACAGAAGGGAGAACAGGGGTGAGGACTGATGGGGGAATGTCTGGGGCCCCAGACATGGAGCAGATACTTGATTTTTCAGGCATTTCAGCAGCCTGAATTTGATTTCTTATATTTCATGGTAGCATGTTTCTGTGTCCCAATTCAATGGGCTATGGATTAAATCTCTCCATAGAAAGTCTCCTGCTTTTGAGTAGGAGATATTTTGCTGCACAGCTTCCTCCCCCATTCATAACAGATTAGTTGTGTTTCTTACCAGGAGAATTTGAAGGGGATTTAGTATTTTTTTGTGGCTACAGGCTTCATAACTAAGCCACAGTCTTCAGCTTAGATCACAAAACATTTGGCAATGGAGTCAATTCATTCTTTGTGTCTGCAAAGTTCTTATTTGTGCTCCAGCAGAGAATTCTTTCTTTCTTCTGCTACAGCGTTTCTCTGCTAGACTTATCACCAGAGCGGTAGAGAGAACCTGGAAATACTGATCTGCAAGGACTTCACTTGGTTGTGTGTTCAAATTAAAGGAACTTCCTGCCTTTAGTAAAAAAGATTATTTGGTAGGGAGCAAGTAGGTTGTCAGGTAGGAGGATGAACTTAATGTGTAAAAAGCCCTTAGTTTCATTTTGTGTCTCACGGTCATATAAAAAGAGAATTATTCTGGCTTTCATGGGGTTTGTGATGCCCAATGGCTCCAAAATCATCAGGTGGAAAAAAGTTTTATATTTGCACATGTGGTTATAACAAGTAATTATTTCAAATATATAAAACATATATCCCTTTTCTTAGGTAAGACTATTTAGAAGCACAAAACTTGGCTGCTAAGCCTCCAGAGGTGTCATCTTTCAGAATTAAATGTAGCCATCCCTAAGGTGAATACAGAAGCCCAGGGCTGTTCATGGGAGGACTTTCTTTAGCTGAGTGGACATTTTGGGAAAAGTATCTCCCACTGGGGGCTTTTAAAAAATCGCTAATATTCTCCCTCTTCCATTTAAAAACAACAAAAACCCCCTAAGTCAATACACAAATACCAGAGCACCTCCTGCTTCCTGGTAAGACTTTCTTTTGATCTGCTGCTTGTATGTGGGGTTATAAGAGCAAGAGCAGAGTATTTCTGCAGCAGCAGAAGGTGTTTTGTCTACTACCCTACTTCAGTATTTTTGAGGTGGCCTTTTTTTTTTTTAATAAACTACAAACCCATTTAAGTGTTGCTGTTTTGAAGAGGAAATTCATTAAGATCTGCATTCAGACTGCACTTACCTTCTACCTTCCCTTGTGATGATGATGACTTAAGAACTCCAAAAACTTCCGTGTAACTTGCATTTCTTTCATCATCCTGCTCAGAAATGTCGAAAGCAGGGCTCAGTAGCCCAAAACCAGAGTCCACAGCATTAATCAGGGTGTAAGGAACTTTAGGAGGCCATGAAGTCTAACCTCCTGCTCCGAGGAGGTCTGGGCAAGCCAGGGGGCTTGGGGCTTTATCCACTCTGGAGCTGGGATCCCTAGTTTTAAAAGCAAAACCAGAGGCAGTTGTGTCTTTGCATCGATTTTTGAGAAGCACACTTCTCAGGTGAAGGTGGATTGTTTTCAGCAGAGATGAATAAATGTAAGAGGTAGCTGGTTGTGGGGGCAGCATTGCTAGTAGAAGGGAATTTGAATAAGTTTTCCTTTCTCTATTTTTGAGCTGTACATACTGCTACAGATACTTCAATGAAAAGAAAAAAGGGTAGGTTGAACTAGCCCAAAGATAGGAATCATACACTGACAAAATGAAGTATTCCACTTTGTGGAACTACTGTGATTCAGACATCACCGATTACGGCACTTGCAATGTGTGAGATACTGTTGCATGTTATTAACTTACATCTTATAGGAAATACTTCTGGGCTTAATGTTGTAAATATTTTTTTTTTTAAAGCATAGTGTTTTTTTGTATCAGAACCCCCTATATTTCATTATTTTTTTTTCTGACATAATTATTGCTTTATTTTTTCCTGGAAGCTAAGCGAAGCCAGTCTATCAGCAACTGTGTTCATCTTTATGAGGCTTTGCCAGCTACTAAAAGTGTACCTCTTCTGCTTCACACTGTGAGCTCTCTCTTACCTGGTATCTCTTACACTTCTTGCTCTCACAGACTGTCAGGTACTGTACTTTAAAGTCATCTGTTATATAAATGTTCTTTGTATTTTTGAACTGCTGTCTGTCTATTCCCTTTCTGTCCAGTTGATTGTACTTTAGTAGTGTGGAACGAGATGTTTTGCGCTGGTTCTGTTTCCCGTGCCTTCGCTCTGTTCCAAACATGGTGTTAAGTAACATTGGTAGCCATTGATTACCAAACAAGTTTAATGGGAGCATATCTTGTCCTTTTTCAGAGTTACGAAGAGTGGCAAAAAATGGCTACTTCTAATGCTTTTTTGTTATTCTGTTACTGGGCTCATTGTCAAAATAAGTACCCTTTTCAGGGAAAAGGAGGAGAGCAGTATCTTTTCAATGAGCTACCTAGGAACTAGTTGAATGCTTCAATGTATGAGCTAGTGCAAGCAAGATATGATGTTGACGAAATACAGCTGGTCGAGCTACTTGATTTGAAAGAAAAATCTTATTCAGACTGTGTTACACTCAGTTACAAATCAGTGCATACAAATGTGGATTTTTTTTCTTCTAAATAATTCTTCCTGTAATTATTGATTCCAGAAGCAAATCTAAAAGACTTGTCTGTGCCTCTTAGTTCCCAGATAGCGTTTGATTTCTCTCAAAGTCTTTGTAGTAGTGCAAGCAATGCAGGCTTTGTTCATTTTAATATTAAAGATTACCATGAATTACAATTAAATTTATATTCCCTAATAAATAAAGTGAAATTTATTTTAATTTTTTAATAATGAAATTTCTTTATTCATGTTTACACTTTCAATTGCTTGATTTATTAAAGGATTCCAAGCAGTTGTTAAAGTTTTAATATAGTGCAGACCAACTATACTGACGATTAGGAATGTGAAAACTAAAGGTAGCAATCCAGGTTTGGGCATTTTAGCTGTGGCTGCAATCTGTGGATATTGGTTTGTAATCTTGTATCCCAAGGGGTTGTACTTCTTGCTCATTTCTGAGTAAGTGAAATATGCCCTCAATGTCAGTGCCAGTGGAGCAGACAGGAAGCAGAGCAGAGGAAAGGAGACACGAGAATGGAAAGGTGGTGGACAGGTGGCTTTTATGTAATGTGCACATTAGGTGACAATATGCTGAAAGAAATCTACAAGACTTAATAATTCAGCCCATGTTCTTTACTGAAAAAATAAATTCAAGAGCTCTCATAAGAGTTGCTACAGCAGCGTTTTTCATATTTTTTTTAAAAAGGAAAATAGCATTGGCTGCGCATATTGAAGCCCTTGAACAGTGTGCTGGTCGTTTTGTTGGGTCAGCTCTGATGGGGTGTGTGCCTCTTTGACCTCTTTCTGGAGAAAGGGTTAGGGGTTAGCTTAAGTATGGTAGGTGGCACTAACCAGTGTCAGGGCCAGAACTAAAAGCAGCACTACTGAGTGGGAACATACTTGATCCCAAGAGTTACTGTCTTTTTCTTCCTCCCCCCTAATGCTAAGAGAAATGCATTTTTAAAAGCATTGTGTTGCTAGCTAATCTCAAGAGTTCCTGTTGCTCCTTCCCCAGTATGTCAATTTACTTTCTCACTTAAATTTTCATGCCCCTCTCTCCTCTCTTTTTATTTCTCATTTGCAGTTTGAGCAAAGAAGCGGCATGATTCCGTTTGTCCTCACAAACTAAGCCTGAATCATACGTAGCTCAGATATTTTTTTTACTCTGTTTGAATTGTTGCCTTTTTTATTCTCCCCTTCCTCTCTCTGTGGAGGAAAAGTCAGTAAGTGCAGCCATCTTTTCTGTACTCCACGTTTGTAGTAGTTTTGCTGCCTCTCCTCTATTCTTCCTGTTTCCGGAACAAACAGGGTCTAGTTTGGGTCTCTGGCACTGAAAAACATAGCTTTGTTCATGTGACATCTTCCTGCCCTTCCTCGTGCACCCTGAACCCCCAGAGTAATTTCTGTCCTTTTTTTAGACTTTTTACCGCCTATGCTGCTCGTAGATCTCTCTCTTAACTTTACAGTTTTTCTAAGGATATTTTGTAGAACTTAAATTATAACTTATGTAACTAGGAGTTACACTCTGGCTTTGTAACTTGAGAGTTTCAAATGCTTGCGTGGGTAAAAATTTCAGATAGCTTTCTTAGGTAAGGAATTCACATGGGTATATAATTCTGAGGGTGTGCAAATATTTTGTGTTTTAATTAAATCAACAGAAGTTGAAGAATCTCTACAGCTGGAAAATCCAACAGGAACAGAAGCTACGGGCCTATTTGCAGACCAAGAACAGCAGCTAACTCGAAGCAGCAGCACTTCAGATATTACAGATCAGTTTCAATCTGATTTTGTTCAAGGTAATTTTGATAAAATACAGAATAAAATACTTCTGAAGAAAAAGTGTTGAGACTTGTTCAGCCTCATAAATGCTGCTCTTATCTACTTTGGTTTCCAGCTTGGTTCTGCAATGGTTTTTATCTCATTTTCTTAGTAAATATATTGTGGGTATCTTGTTGAAAGAACTCTTTTTAGGAAGTTACAGACCACAGATGCAGGACATGACCATTTATAAAGCAGGGCAATTAAAAATTAAACCTTTGAATGTATGCATTTTGCATGTAACTCTTAAACCTTTTTTTTATCTGGCTTACATTTAAATTTTGTTTATTCAAGCTAACAGTTCTGCTTCTATTCCTCTTATGTAAGTATATTTATGAAGGATTTTTCAAAACATCTTGTATTCTGTTTTAATATTGTATTACTTCACTTAGCTTTAAATATACGAAGCGTATATGTAAACATACCTGAAATTTTAATCTGATTTGCTATGTACTTTGATCCCTTAAAGGTCTGTATTTCTTGTTTACTTTCTAAAATTTCTAGGTAAAAAGGCTGGAAGTTCTCATAATTTAACTTCTTCAGACTCCAAATCAGTTCAGGAAAATAAGGGATGTACAAAGAAGGAACATGAAGCTGAGCAAGTAAGGCAAAATAAAAAGTGATCATTGATGAGCTTCTAACAATGTTTTCTTTCTAATCAGATGCCTTTTAGTAGTTAGAAACTCCAGCAACTGAAAGTGTGAAAAATCACTGATCACATCGGTAGTACAGAATCTCGGATTGAGCTGTAGCTGTTCATTATGCTAACTGGTAGGATCATTCTGTGTCTCCTCATCTTGTCAGTTGCTTATGCAGTTTTATATAATTGGCCATATTCTAGTCTTGCGCAAGACTTTTGTGCTTTTTAAATATTAAATGTAAACAAGAAGTTCATAACTTTTAAAATATAAATAATTCATGGCTATTATAGAGCTCCAGTACACTGGAATAAATGTTTGATGATTTAAAGTATGGGGAAAAATGCTTTCCTTCAGCACAGTTGGTGTCACCAGCTAGGTGTTGCAGATGTTTGTGTAAGTTAACATTAGGACCTGCAAGCTTCATCAATTTTTAATGCTGCTTTTGAATAAACAGTAGAAATAATAAATGATGGAGGCTGATCATTTTTGTGGGAGTATAATGCAATGCAGCATGGAGGAGTTCAGGCTGAATCTGGTCTTTGGACCTCGGCTCTCCCCTACTTCCAGACTTAAAGTACCACTAACAGTTAGCTCTGGAAAGGAGAGACGAGATGTTTTCTGCACAGTGCTTTCGTTAGTTGCTTCAGGAATAACAAAGTGCCTCAAGAAGGAAGGAAAACCTAGTCTGCTCTGCATGGTGGAGGGGAGGGGAGAGGGAGGGAAGTAAGCTCAGTAGTTGGGGGAATTAAAAATTAACCTGGGTCCCCATTCTGTTTTAGTAGCATGTGTTATAAAATATTCACACGCATATGCTGCTGGGCTGCTACCAGCATTGCACTTTCACCCTTTCTGCAAGTGGAAGCTGGGGTTTGACTGCACAACCTGCTAATGTACCATGTGAACCTGTTCAACTTCATATAGGTTTCCTTAAGACATTTAAAGATATTTGGGTAGTCTAAATATTCATGAAAATATCTTGACTGAGTTGTAATTAATTTCTAATAACTGTGTGTGCATCTTGGGTCAGCTAAACTATGATGTCGTTCTTAAAACTGTAATAAGCTGAGATTATTTTTTTTTCTCTGAAGGTACTAGTACGAAGAAGCAGTAGTACAGCTGAATTAGATTTGAAAGCAGACTTGCAGCAATCACTTGGAAATTATAGAGAGAGAGAAAAAAGTGAGTTCCAAGAAATACAGTATTTTTTTTCAAGTGTAGCAGTTGAAATCAGTGTCATAATTTTGTCTTGTTTACAGATACATTAGGTGGCTTTCTCATCATGCTTTGCTAATGTAGTCTTTAAAAACAGGGTTTGTGATCTTCATTCATCCCCTTCTTGCTCTAGGTGAAAGCGTTAGCAGTGACACATCCATCGGCTATAGTAATGAAGTAGAAATTGCACTTATCCCCTGGCAAGCTTCTGAAGAAGACCATGAAGTTAATGCATCAGTAGATGTTTGTATGGATCCTGATGCACCTCGCTGGCTTCAGCTTAGTCCTTCAGATACTGCAAATTTAACAGGTACTGTAGTCCAGACCACGGATTTACTAGTTTAGATTTTTATCTCAAAAGGAGTTTATATGGTTAAGTTTATATGTTTTGTTTGGCGCATATCACCAAGTTTTGGTCATAGTGTTCATCTAAAAATGAGATTTGAATGCCTAGAGTTTAAGGAATTTGGGTAATCAGATTGAAGCTGGCATAGGTGCCAGTAAATTGTGATCCAGAAAATGATCACACAGTTGAGAATAATTGGGTTACTTACTGTGTCAAATTACTACTAATCAGCTGACATGCTCTCTTAGCCTGCCACAGCGTTCAAGTAAAATAAATTAATTTAATTCATATTGTAAGTTAATAGGTTTTATTTCATACCATAATGGTCTAAAGAAATTCTGTACTATGTATTTTGACTGATAGGAAATGATTAATTCCTGATAATTTATCTCATCTTAATCCTGTTACCCACCTTATTTATACTTGAACATACACAGTGCCTATACTCCAGTAGGATGTGATCAGTGTCATTCTCAGAAGAGTTAATCTGGAAGTAGAAGTCCTTTACCTGTTCATTTTATTTATAGTATCTTTAACACTCGTGATTATTTAATGAAATATTTTGATTCTTTGCAATTAGCGAAGGTAGCTTCCCATTTAATCATGTGAGTCAGAGATGTTAGTTCAGTAAGTTAATGCAGTAACATAGGAAACTATCTTATAGGCTGTTTTTGCTAACAGAGACATAGTTTCAAGGAAGTTTTTCTTCATATTCACTTTTTCTTGGACATATCTCTTATTTAATGAACGAGCACACCTAGTTGGACAGTTCAGCCTGCCATTGTACAAAAGGTGGCATGTAATACAGCACGTGGCAACGTTTATTATGAATGATAAATTCATTGCTTTCTTTGTGTCTGTGATACAAGACATTGCTCCTTGGTGTGTACAAAGAGAATCAATTATATAAAAGAACCTGAAAGGTAACAAAGACTAAAAAGAGAAATGGGGCAACAAAGGTGTAGTTGCTCAACAGAGCCACTGTGCCCTTACTGCAGTTCTGGTTCTCACCCAGCTTACAAAACTTTGTTTTGCTGTAGCAGCCTCTATGGTGTAAGGCAAAAAAACGCTGTGACGCCACCACTGAACAGCGTAGATGCAATTTCCCTGATGGTAGATCTGTTGAAGATCATTCTAATGTGCTTAATATATAGCACATGTTTTAAAACTTTGGGAATTCATAGTGCAACACCAAAAAAATAGCAAAAAGCAAAAAAATAATATCAAAAGCTTTTTTTAAAAATAAATTCAAGCAGACATAAAAACATCTAAAATGGGTTTTATTTTGCTACCCTTCTGGGGGTTCTGGGAGGACACAAGTTATTCCCCTCTGCCTGTGTAGAGGTTTCCTGCAACTTTCCTTGAAACATTGTCTCCCGAGCACTTCAGGGTGCCATGCTGGACCATAGTTCTGATTCTGCCAGCAGACAGGTTGCTGCACTGCTTTCCTTGGTCTGATAGAAGATAATGTAACAGCTCTTGTCATTAAAATTTGCACTTCAATATGGAATTTTTCTTTTACTCTTTAAGCATGTTAATTCCAATATCCTGACAGTCTTCCCAAAACCCTGCTTTCCTTCTCAGTTTGCATACTGCTGTCTCAGGGACTGCTTCTGAATAAAATGATAATACCTGAGAGTATTCTTCATCACTAGTACTGCATACTTTTTAGTTCCTTTGTTCAGTTCCATCTCCAGATCATTTTATACCGTGTGATCTTAAAAGAGAAAGGACTCCTAGCAATAGAAATATTACCTGTAAAAGCCAGTTGATGATTGAATAAACCTCTTGGGGTACATGAATGTTCCATTTAACTGCATTTGCCTCCCTGCTAAAAAAAACCCAACCCTTGAGTGGGGCAGTCTGCCTGATGTAAAACCGATTTACAGCTGTGTCATCTCTGTGGAAGCCCTTTCCTTAGCCTACATTTTCTGCTGTTTTTTTCTTTGACTCATATGTTAGCTTGAGCAATGAAGAAGAGAGATGATTTAATGGGAGACAATACTTTGGAGATGGAAGACAGTTAGGAGTCATGTTTCTATTTTATTGACCAAATTTATACTGTACGCTGCATTTCTAATTCACGGAAATTGAACTTCTTTAAATTTACAGACAGTAGTGAATTCCTTGCTGATGACTGCAGTATAATTGCTGGTGGAAGCCTTATTGGTTGGCATCCTGACTCTGCTGCTGTGTTATGGAGGAGAATCTTGGGAATTCTTGGAGATGTGAACAATATACAGTCACCTAAAATCCATGCCAAAGTTTTTGGGTATCTTTATGAGCTGTGGTATAAGCTTGCAAAGGTATTGTATATGATGCTTACATCTAATGATAATGATCTTTCTTTTATTGTAAAAATTATTATTAAATTTGATTTAGTATTAGCATCTGGCACATAAGCATAAGATTTGGAGGCTTCTGTCATAAAGATAATCTTATTTGATTTCTAGTAGGTATCGCCAATAGAGGATGTTCCTGTTCAATGACAAGAGGATTTAGATGAGTTAATTTAGATAGGGTGAGGAAACAGTAGCAAAGAAGATAGAGTTATAGAATCGAATACTCCAAACGTTGTTATTCAGTGTGAAAACTCATGGTATCCCCTAAAATGGTAATACTTGCTTAGGCTGTGGGGAAGCACTATAGAACAAGCTTTCCTGATAGTTTTGGCTTAAGTAGGAACTCTGTATAGCACAGGGTGTAGTGCATCTAACGTAAATGAAATAAAATTAAAAAGTAATAATATGAGATAGAGAGCGTTAATAAAGTAAGCTATCAGTTTTATTAACTCTCTTCTTTTAAAAACATTAGATACGGGACAACCTTGCCATAAGTGTGGACAACCAGTCTACTCCCTCTCCTCCAGTCTTAATTCCCCCTCTCAGAATATTTGCATCATGGTTGTTCAAGGTAAGTTATTTCTAAAATTTTCACACATTAGTGTTTTCTTCTATATCAATGCTGAATTTGTGTATGTTTAGTTGCATTATTTTTCATTTTTACAATCACTGCTGGCTAAAAAGGTGAATACCTTCCAAAGGCTATTTGGGCTCAAATCTATTTTAATAAATACATGGAACAGACTTGCTTGATGGAAAATCTGCTGAAGATACAGTTTTGCGTTAGCTGGCTTCTAGAAAAAAAAAGTAGTAATACAAGGTTTTTGCTCTTTTCAGGCAACCACCCTGCCGAATGAATATAAGGAAGGCAAACTTCAGGCATACAGGCTGCTCTGCGCTATGATGACTAGGCGTCAAGATGTTCTCCCGAATTCTGATTTCCTGGTTCATTTTTATTTTGTGATGCACCTTGGCTTAACAAGTGAAGACCAGGTACAAGCTTTACCTACTAGAAAATTGCAAAAACAAAATAGAGACTGCCTAAAAACATTTCCACGTTTTTTGTAGCTGTATGAGTGAGTTTTCTTCCTTAAGAGAAGCAGTCCAATAGCAGCAATGGCTAGAGCTGTGCTGTGGGTGCCAGCAGAGGGCACCCGGACCCCTTCGTAAAGCCTGCAGTGGTTGGTCCCTTCTGCTGCTTCTGAGTTACTTCTGGTGCCTTCAGTGAACCAGCAGGAAGAGTCTTGCACAGGCTTGGTTATTTCTGAGATGAAAGGGAGAAATAGTGAATTGATACAGGCTCTTGTTCCCTGAATCTCAGTTCCCCTTCTGAAAAGTTAGAGCATTTGGAAAATCTTCCCTTTAAATAGATAATGCAGAAAAAAAGAACAGAAAGGAAAGGGTTTTCTTCTGGAAAAACCTGAGAGTCCTGGCTGCTGGTGAAACTTATGAAAAACCATTAGCATCTGCCATTTGTAAAGCACAAAAAGTGCAGTGGGAACTCTCCTTCGTGCTACTCTGTGTGTTACCTGAGAGTAATGAAGAGCTCGTTACTCTTTCATTTCACAGATGCCATTCAGATTTCATACAGTTTAACGCTGCTTGGTGTACAGAGTAAATTCATTCCCCTGCAAAAAAAGACTGATAATGCCCACTATGATCAGACTCCCTGAATTTTAAAAATCACACAGCATTAGATCCTCTCACATAAAACAACTCAAGAAACTTTAAAGCCTTATATAGACCAGATTAAAAAAAACAAAACACTTTTATATCTGAAAAAATAAACACCCTTAAATCAATATATCAGCCACTGTCAACACAGGGCCATAGGAATGGAAAAGGTCAGTGATTTTAAGACTTGAGTTGTTCTCATCTACACATTTCCATGAAAAGGCCAGATTTTCAGAGGTGTTCAATGGTTGACAGTTCCATTTTTCTAAGGTAAGGAGTGCTCTCTTTCTTGAAATCTGACTCTGTCCTGGAGAACCGATTCCCGCACAGAAAGCGGGAGGTTTTTGAAACGTGGGATTTGTTGTCGTTGAACTGTTTCTCACCCTGTTTATTGCATTTTGGTGTTAATAACAGTTCCACAGATTTTAAGCCTCTTGCTTTGTTGCACATGGCATTTCAGTCCTTGTGCAGAGTAACAAACCAGACGTTAAAGAACATGAAGAAGTGAAGACTGTGTAACAAAGGCAGACCCGGCATTGCACATCGTGCCAGTGCTTCTCAGATATTTTGCACGCTGATGCTGCTCTTTTGTTCTTCCTTGCCTCTCTTGGTTTTGCTTTTTTTGCCTCTTGGTGGCACAGTTGACCACAAGTTTTTCTCTTTTGTTACTGTCCTTACAGTTTTGCCTTCCTTAACTCTGAAACTGATTGAGGTGTTAACCTACGGCACGTGGATTCTTGTGCACCATATCGATATGAAGTATGATCCTTACACCTGTTTCTGTATTGCCAACCTGCTTGGTGGGTGCTGAGACTAGTCAGACAATTTGCATTCCGAGGGTAACTAGAATGCAGGAGTGCACTGTATGAGGCAGAAGTGCCTCCTCTGATACTGCAAAGCATGGTTTCTACAATTCAAGTTATTGCATACCAAAATGAACTTTGGTGCAATTTTTTTAGCACAGTTTTTTTTGTTTGCTAAGCATGAGCGTAAATTTCTTACTCTTAGGGAACATTAACAGGGGAAAGGAGGGGTGGTTCTCATGCAGGAATTTTCCTTCTGTATGTATGACTAGTGGAACTTTTAAATTCATGGGGGAAAGCAACAGACAGGTAGGCCAACTCCAGGGAATTGTATTGGCTGCTTTAGAACAGCTTTTTAGGTGGATACATAATTTAAAAAATTACAGTCAGAAACCTCTTTGACCTGAATTTGATTATCAATATTTTAATTAGCATCAGAAATTATTGTTTTTGAAATATATTTCTCTTTCCACTTCTCTGAAGCATATGAGTATAGAAAATTTCTGCTATATTATGTAGATTTTGGTGTTGATAGAAAAACAAAGTAATGAATTTTTGAATATGGTTATAAATTAATACAATATTATTCCAAGGAAGTGCAGCCTAACTTTGCAGACTTTTCTCGTGGGCTATATAAAAGAGCAACATACGGGTATACGTTATAAAAAGCTCCCATGGCCCTCTGAGTTCAAGATGTAGCAATTAGCTTAGCAGGTGAGAAAGGAGATAGCGAGGTAATGAGATGCATCTAATTTGTCCATGTGGAAGTGTCTGAGAACAAACGTCTTTGTATGAAGTGAACAATTCTCTGCAACAGTTGCATCACCTTTTCAGGTGGGAGAAGTCATTGCACAAACACCATGATGAGGCGAGTCGCAGTCTGGTGGTGTGATTAGTTCCACCCTGCCCAGGGGCCTGAGGTCACGGCGCAAGTGACTGCGAGATGATGATTCTCCTCCTGTACCGCTCAAGTCAGGGGGCATTTTTCTGAAGCTGTAGTGAGCCCAGATATTTTGTACAGTATTTTATGAATGGAGTTCACTGAGGCTCACCACCTCTTGTCCTTGAGCTCTAGTGTAAAGGAAAGTGGATTTGGATGTTCACTGCCGCATCGTGGGCTAGTGGAGATATTTCACCTATGGTTGCTCCAGTTTCTCATCTAGATTGTGGAAAATCATGACATGTTCTTGGGGTGTGATTGCAGTTTGGGTGGGAATAGCTGCCTTATGCTGCTAGGTGAGATGCTGTTGAAAAAGCCCTGTTCCAGTGATTGCAACTATACGTGTCTTTTGATTTGGACAATAAATACAGCTTTTAAAATTAAACCAAAGCCTAATACTGCAATGCACAAATTTTACAAATACCTGAACCAGGAAAGGAAATGTATTTTATTGTTGCTACTGGTTGTTTACTGTAGCAGTAATTTTGGCTTCATGGATTTGGAAAGGTACGTAAGCATCTCCTTGCTTCCTAACTTCCTTGTTTTTGCTGAAGAACAAAAGTACCAAAACAGGATTCCAAAATACCACTAACACTATTCAGCTTCCTCAGAAAAGCTACTATTGATTCCTCAATTCTGGTACTTTTGGTACTTAAATAATCCTTTTAGGTTACTGGTGTTTTTCTCCTAAGACTTCTGTGGATTTTTGTGACACTGTCTTATTTCTGTCTAAACTTGCACTCCTAGTTTGAGAAGAGAATGCAGTGCAAATTAGGTGCTTACCTGTAGTTACCTGGTAAAAGAATGCAGCTTTTCAATAAAGTAAAAGGCAGGGTTTCAATATTTTTCAAGTTTCAAACCACCAGCTATTTAGTGTCTTTTTTTCAGAAAGTCTGACCCTACTCCCAGGGCCTTAGCATCCCTTAATGTGCTTGGTGAAACCCATTGACAACACATGCCACCGAGGTTTTGCCCAGTAGTCAGAGGTTATCTGAAAAGTGAGCTAGCAGGCTTGTGATATTCCTGCTTTTTGAAGCGAGCTTTAACGAGTAAGTTTAATAAATGTACAGTTATACTGGCTTGCCAGAGTATCTTTGGAATAGAGTGCTTATATATATGAGAAGATAGTAAGGAATGTAATAAAAAGTATAGACTTCAGGAGTGCTCTGCAGAAAGGACAACTAATAGACAAGGAAAGACACTCTGCTGATGGCTTTTTTTTTTAGTCTAGTGATGTTAGGGGCAGAACAAACTTTAAATATGGAAGGAGAACAAAAAAGCTGAAATCCAAATGAGTTGACAGATGTCCTTGGTGATTAAATTTCAGCACATGCAGGCTGGACTGCCTGCAGAACACAGCCCAGCTGTGAGAAGTTAACAGCTATAGTTTTGGCTCAATTCCTTTTAGTAGTAAAAGGATGACTTAGATGAAATACTCTGTCACTAAAGATGGTGATATACTAATGTATGTTATGCTTACCTATAAGCCTCTTGATTTGTTTAAAATATACTGTTGCTAATTATGGAAAGGAAGCTACACCATTTATGTAGCAAGCTGATGTAGAAACACTGCCTGTGGGTAATTTATCATACGAAGCATTTTTTAGTAGACTGGTTCCAGAGAAGCCGTATTAATTACCTACTTGCATTAACATTGATCTGAAGTTTAAAAAAAAAAACAAACAACAGTACTTGTGAGTTTTTATATCTTTCTGTTAAGTTCTTATTCAACCGTGAGGAGTGTTGTACAGCTTCTAGACTGCTCAGCCTTTAGTGCTGCTCACTGGGATATGTGTTAGCCGGGTAGAGCACTGCCTTCTGGAGGTACAATAAATGAGCAGCTTTACTCTGTATGCTGTGGAATAAGTACTTCTTGCCCAGGTTTCTGCCTGATAGTGTTGCACATGAGGACGCTCAGTTGTACAGCATTTCAGAAACCATAATGCATTTCAGATTCCTTTCCAGACTGCCTTTTAAAGGAAAAATAATCGTAATTTAGTCTATTAAGGCTATAACATGCTATTGATAGACAGCATGTTTCCAGTAGAGACAAAAATACAAATGCCGAGGTCTCCCAGGAAGTGCTGCATACCCCTCTGCTCACTCATAGTAGGATAAATTGGAAGTGCAAGAGAAAACAGCTGCTAGGATTGACTGGAAGAAAGGGACAACCAGGTGATGCTGGTTGTAGGAGCTGTGCATTGGTAGTTTTGTTTGTTCTTTTTTTTTTTTTTTTTTTTACAATACTTTTGCTCTTTCTAAATTGCTTCCATCCCACCCAAATTTCTGTTTCATACTTGGTGTTCTGTCAGTTTCTTCTGTGTTCCCAGCAGTACCTTGCTGGAGTGCCTGCTGTTTGTAAGCTCCTTTGTGAGGATTTTCTGAGCTCTGTCCAGAGTAGAAATAGAGTTTTTGAAATAGAGGCAACATCCCTCTTCCTGCAATTTTGCTCACACCTTTTCTTCCACCTCTTCAGTCATCACGGTAGCTTTGGGATCTCCTGAAGTAAGTTTCTTTTTTAACATGCCCCTGCAATGCAATGCTGTTTCATCACCTGTTATCCTTAGCTCTCTATTTTTCCCTCTGCTTGTTTCAGCTGGGCTGTGTCTTCAGGATCCGTCCTTTCCCCTCTCTGTGCACTTGTTCTCTGCTTCAGACGTGTCTTACTTCAGCTTCTTGCTTCGTTGTTATCTTTTATGTTTTAAGCAAGGTTACATGATAAACTCTGAAAGTGACTATTTTAAGCAAATCAAGGTTTAATGTATTTGCCATTTTTTGGGGATGTTCTAAATGTGCAAAACAATCCCTTCTCCTCTGCATCTGTTCCTCCATCTTGAAAACTGATAGAGCACGCAGGTGAAAGGGAAAAATGTGAAGTGCTACTAATTGCCACCTGGGGTGGAGATGCTGCCTTCCGGCTGTGCACCCCAGGGAGCTCCTTCACCTCTCCTCTCAGAGCTGTGCTCACCGTCCCTTCCCTGAAACCACCTTCCCTCTGAGCAGTTGACCTCCGGCTCTGCAGGGGCTTCAGCGCTGCCACTGTGGTTCCTTACAGTCCCAGACTTCAAAGAGGTCTTGGCACAGGCGTTTGGGAGAAAGCCGTATGGTGACACAAAGTCCTGTTGACATTTCAAGCAGTGCCATGGACTAGTACCTGTGTTCTTGGGACCCGTACTGCTGGACCTCTAGCAAGTGGGTATTCAGATATTTCCCTCCCAGTCTGCATCAACTTGAAATGTTTCTTCCAGTTTGAAGTGTGCCCTTGATCACAATGGTCTCCTAGGCTGTGAAAATATCCAACATACTCTAAACGGGGAGAAACTTTACAAATTCTGGTTGCTTCCTGTGTGTGTCTGATCTCTGTTGATGGGGCACCTGAGCACCTGTCTGTCAGCACAGGGGCTCTGGGGTGGGGGTTTGTTATTAATGTGACTTGAAAAGAAAGCTTCCTAGTGTACTGTGGAGGGGACGGAGCAGCGACCAGCAGGTGACTTGTGCAGTAATCTGGCCTCTTAGGCACTTGCGAATAACCTTATTCGTGTTTTATAAATTAGTGCCATTCTGGTTTTTAATATCTCTCCCTCTTGCATTCCGGTCACGAGATGCTTTAGTAAATATGACTTTTTTGGAGGTTAGACTTAAATGACAGATTGAAATGGATTTTTCTGACAAGCTAATCCTTTGCTTTCTGAGGGTGTCAAAATACTTAATAAATTTTTATTAGAACTTAATTTTTGACACATTAACTCTTACCTAAAATGTAACGATAGCTAGGAAAACTTGAAATAAGTAAATCGAAGCATTTGTTCCTTTAAAATAAAAAAGGAAAATTAAGGATTTACCACTTAAGTCTTGTGTAAATTAATAATCTTTCCCGTGCTGTAAATTCAGCCCCCAGTGAGGTGTCTCTTGGTGAAGAACAGAGTGAACTTTAAGTGAAAAATCCATGTTGTTCCTGTTGAGGGACAATTGGAAATGTGATGAAGGCAGATGGCAGGCTATTTGGTTACACCTGTAATCTGCAAAAGCTTGAACAAAAATTAGGTAAAGAATATTTTTGTAATTGACATTTCAGTGAACTTGCATAAATCTTTTTCACTTAGTGGATGTTTATAACCTTATTATTGGGATTACTAGATGAACCTATACTGAAATATTATGCCATTTATAGGGTTAATGCATTTGAGAAGGACATGCATGTGATTGCCCCCCTTCTCTCCCCTCCTCCCCGTTTTTAACACTGCAGACCATCATTTTGAATTGAAATAGTCCATAATGGTCCTTTTTTTTTCACTTTTCTTTAACAACATGAACACGAAATTATAGCTGTGCAATTATGTAAACAATGGAAATGCTTCCAGAATGAATACTTCCTTTTAAATTTTCATTTTGTGTAATTGCTGAAAGGTTTGGAGCCATAATAAACCAAAATTATTTTACACATTCATCGTTCTAAAGGTCAATTATGAAAGAAGTAAAGAAACAACACTGTACAGAATGAGTAAACCAATTTCTATTGCCATCACCATATGTTTTTCTTATTGCTTGTGTTTTTCCAGTTACTGTGTACATAGCATTCAATTAAAGTGATTCATTTACTAGACTGTAAGCTGCTGAACAGAGTTTACATTTATAGAACAGTGCTTTGAAGGGAAGGAAACAACTCGCCTGTGTTTGAATTACCTGATTTTTGCAATATCACTGATAGGACATATGTTCTCACTTGGTCACTTTCTCATAAGCCTAAATCTTCTGATAAGCTTGCAGTGCTACTGAATTACTGCGTGAAATCGTGCTTTGATTGTTAGCTGGGTTGTGCAGGAAAGCGTGCTAATTGGGAAATGGGAGAAAAACGGTCAAATTTTACCTGTAAGCGCCTTCCTGGGGTGTGGTTTCTTTCCTGTCCATTCTGTTTGGAGTGAGCTCCAGTAGAACAGCAGTAATATAATCAGGATGTATTCTGACTCAGATTAATTTAAATGAAGTCACTCAGATTATCACAGATTTATACTGAAATGCCAGAGGTGAAAAATGGCAGTGGAAACTAGTGGGGAGCTTGGCTGGAGATGTTTTTGGCTGGGCTCTGACACACTTGTACGTTGATAACTTTTAAGAGTTGTATGTGTTGTATCACTGCAGTGTATGATCTGTGCTGTGAATCCATCAGTTTGAAGCTACGTGACAAAAAAGAGAAATGGAAGATTGTCTCATTAGCTTTTCAAAATAATTATTTCAAAGGTTTCTTACTATGAAAAATAAGGGGTTTTTTTAGTAGTAGTACATCTCATAAACAGCAAGTAGATCCATCCAACCCCCTTCTTACAGCTTTTTGGAACGTGTGTGTTGTCCCAGCATTTGTTAAAGTTGTGTTAGTTATGCTGGGCTGTAAACTTACAGGTATTAGTGTATTAAAGTAACAGGTTTACAGTTATGTTTTTATCCTAATTTTCTTCATGCTCTATACAGTGAGCATAGTTGAGAGTGAAGAGTCGAAGCTGGATGATGGTTATGGTGGTATTTAACAGATGGGATCGATGGAGCGAGGACAGGAGTTAAGGCGGTTGTTTGTAGCAGGTCTTTGTACTTCCTACGTTCTGTTACCTTTCAGGCCAGGTTAGCACGGGTTCTTTTATTGTGGCATGTGTCAACAGAAGTGTACTCCCATCTGCTGCTCTGTAGTTTGATGCTCAATTATTCAGAGACCAAACACCTCACAGTGCCTGGCTCCGTTCGTAATTACAGGTGCGCTGTGTTGTGAGGAGCCGGGTGCATTAATCAGACTCTTAATTATGAAAAGGTGGGTCTTTTGTTCTGCTCCGAGTGTGAGTTTACCACCCACTTTATGAGCTGCTGCATCCATCTGCTCTCTCTTTTTGAATGTTTGCATTGACTGATATTGACTTTAAAATGTATCAAAGGAAGTGATTAAAACTAGTTTAAACATTAACTCGAGTGGCATTTTGGCTTATTCAGGAAAGTGAAAGCATTATCTGCTACTATGTTAAAAACTAATATTATTTATTTGAAATACATAACACAGTTACTTCATAGGATGTTAGTGCTGTAAATACTTTGCGGAACACTAAATAGGTTCTGTCCAGGTGTTTGGCAGTGCTTTGAGAAAGTGCTCCTGTAGTTAAAGCATATCTGCATTTAGAGAAAAGTAGGTTTGACCTCGTTAATTTCTGATGTAGAAATTGAGCATACAGACACATTCTGGGACTCATTCAAGCCTTCTTTATTTAGCACATCATAAAATCAAAAAGATGTACACTGAAAATGATTTTCCTTTGCGATTTTTCTGTTAAATTCTATTGAGACAAAACATAATTTTCTACTCAATATAGAAATAGCTTTATTTAATTCTTCAGCAAATATAATGTTGCAGGTAAGGATTACATAGATTTTGTCCATAATTTTAAACCTGATGAAACCCTGTAGGAAGGAAATCTTAACTCAAACAGAGGAACTTTGCTCCAATTTGAAGAGACTGTGAAGAGTTGAAACATGGAAGGATTAAAGCTCAAAAAGCTGTGGTTGGTCGTCTGTTCTTACAAATATAGTGCTACCTCTTAAAAAAAACCCTCTGTTTCTTCAAAAGTTCGTCGAAAGCTCTTCCCCCCCCCTCCAAGGTTTATCTGTATTTGCTATCTTAATTATTTAGAAGAAGAGTGACTTAGAATAATCTAGTTAGCATAGATTTATGTGTGTTACTGGGCTGTGTATGATCACATCACTGTATTTCTCCACTAGTCCAGAGCAGCTAAAAAAATCCCATATGTGCCCGAGCAGCCTAACAGTAGCAAGCCACCTGCTGTCAGTTACTTCCTTGAGCTCCTTCAGGGCAAAGGCGGCAGGCATTTGTGTCATCTCATGGTTTTATGGCTACAGAATTTTGACTAATAGGATTTTAGGAAATACCACATTTGGAGTGGTATAGTGCTTCATCTTAAATTGATTAACAGGTTGAATGTTTTGAATCCAAGGTCTTGTTTAGGAAAAGAACAGTTCTTTTATTCTTAGACATGAAGAGGTATGGGTGTTTGTTGTTTGGTTTTTTTGTTTGTGTGTTTTTTTTTTTTTAACAGGATTTTAAGAGTACAAATATTACTGAAATACAGAATGCACTTGTCCTACTAATGCATCCCCAGCGGAAAGCAGTGGTTGTTATGTGATGATCAGTTACATGTAGAGCTTAGTGCCTCTGAATTATCACCTTGATTAGTGTGGAACTGGTCAATTGCAATGTTACATCTTCGCAATCTCTCCCTTTTGGTTTTGGGCTCTTTTTTTTTCCTTTCTTTCTTCTCAAACAGGTAATTTCTCTTTAAATTCTTTTTCAGGATATCATAAATACTGTCATAAAGCACTGCCCACCTTGGTTTTTCTTCCTGGGCTTACCTGGCTTTACGATTCTGATAGGAGACTTCATTACTGCGGCGGCCAGGGTTCTGAGCACAGACATGCTGGAGGTGAGTATGGCAATGCCCAGTGACCCCGTCCCCTGAGAGCGTGCGCGCTTGCTAACGAGGTTCAGTTGTCTGCACTCTAACAGGTGTTGACTCATTAGTGCAATGTGAAACGGGGCTCTTTGGGCAGATACCATGGCAGCTGATGTGTGAAATTGTGGGATAAGGTGACATACTAGTATGGCAAAGGTGTTTCATCAAAAGGCCAGAGTGTGAGGAATCATATCCTTGCTAATATTGCAGCACGCCTGTGTGCTAAGAGCAGGACTTGGATTTCAGAATCTCATTAGCTTTTTGCAGTGAGCAAATATTGAAAACATGGAACTCTTTTGGTAATACAGAATTTCTTACTAAATATCAACACCAATAGAAATGTGACTCTAAATGATTAAATTAGTGCAGGATAAGTAAAACAGCAAATCCATGATGGGATGCCAAAATAAGGGTAAAGGTCTGGCAATCCTGGGAAGAACAGGAAAGCTTTGTTGTACAAGAAGCACCAGTTCATGGGAGACCTTTCTGGCTGTTTTGGGGAAGTGCTTTTACCGCTGCTCTTGACATTTGTGCAGCTGAGCGGGTGGCCCTGCGCAGGGACACAGCCCTCTCATATTTCAGCAGAACTGAACTGGTGAGCCTAGCTGCGCTTCTTCCATTGTCCCTCAAAGAGTTTAAAGTCATTAATTTTCAGACATCTCTTTAAAAAACCTGATCAGCCTGATCATTGATGGAAAGCTTTAAATGCTAATAAGAAATGAAAAGTCAACTTTCTATGGAGAAAAAAAGACACCAAACCAGCATCACCTTCCATTTCTCCTACAAGCATAAAACTTGGTGTTTTCACCATTACATAAGATTATATAGCAGTAGTTAATGCATTTATAGCTCATGCTGTGTTGCTTTTGGTATTTTTATTGAAGTAGGAATCTCTCTACACATTTTGATCACGTATAGAGTAATTTCGAGTGCATTGTGCTCTCCTTTGTGTCACACAATCAGCTAATAGTAGTGCTGTAGTAGTGCTTAAAACTCACACTCAGCTTTTCTGTAGGTTGTTCTGTATTTTTTTTGTTGACACTGAATTGCTGATAGTTGGATTGTGTAATGAGAGAGGAGGTATTAAACATGTAGGAGCAGGGGCCAAGGTCCCTGATGGAGGAAAAGCTCGGCCTCAGAAAAAGAGCAGAGCAACACAGCAGCAAAAAGCACAGGCAAATAAGTATCTGAGTTGCTGCTTTACTGCTGCTTTTGCTGTAGTTGTAAAGGAAAAGCTACCGGGACACGTTCCTCAGGACACTTTCAGTGTTGCATAGTAAATAGAGCACATCTGGTATTTATGGTGATAGACACCTGCCTCATAGCTTAATGCCGTTTTCATCATTTTATGAAGATGTTTTTGTTCACTTTTCCTTCATTAGGTTCCCCGTTCGGAAGCTCACACCATCCTTGGTTCTCTTGTTTGCTTTCCAAATATCTACCAAGAAATCCCCCTCTTGCGGCCCATTTCAGAAGCTGGTGATATCATTGCGGGAACAGCAGATGTGAAGGTAAAGTCACATTTTATTAGTAAAACCTTAGGTAACACATTTTTACTACATAGTCACTTCATTTTATCGTGCTCTTTTGGTTTTAAAAAATAAACCCCTCCTTCTCCTCAAAACCCCGCAGCTGCACACATTTTACGTACTTAGTTGATAAGCATTGCGTTGCTTAGCGTGCACCATAAAATTAACAAAGCTTAGATACTGCAAATTACATTTTATTTTCAAGGAGAGTGAACTGGCTATGATCAGCTGCAATGTTTTCCAGCCAGATGCCTGTCAGGTCAATTCATTAAATGATGTTGGTTGTATTATTTAAAGTGTCAATTCATTGTATCTGTGTATATTAGCTTGTCCTGTAAGAGATGTGAGCTGTGCATAAGGGGAGATTTTTTTTTTCCTTATTGGTATTATAGTAAAATGTTAAGAAAATTACACTATTGGACAGAACCATCATCTTATGTGAATGGTTTTTTTCCTGAGAATTAATTTCAGTGGGACACCCTGAGTTATGAATTATTTTGCTGGATGGAAAGCTCTGTAATTTAATGACCTTCACAGCAATATTTTTGGTATACACAACATCCTGTAAAGACCCGAGAAGGTGACCTGGAGCATCACTTGCCAGTGAAACCTGTCCAAAGGGTTGCCCTCACACAAGCCTCTGTTGCTTTCGATAAACTTGAGGCACCACACTAATCCACTGCACAAGGTTAGGTAAAGCTGGGGAGGAATCTCCAAATTCCTCATGCTGCCTGAGAAGGAGCAGCCGGAGGGAATGCAAAACCCTTAGCATGCTTGGCTCCCTGTTCTTGCTTTCCTCATCAGGCCTTGGAGAGTTAAAACAATCTCGATTTCAAGTGTCTTTTCTGTACTAAAAAATACACTGAATTTTTCAAAACATGCTTTCCTTAGAACATGAACACTGTAGTTTGTATTATCAAGTGATCACCGCTCATCATTAGTAAGTACCTGTCGACTCTGAAAGTGAATTGATTTCCATCTTGCTGCCTGTACGTGAATTTAAATGGATTAGATTTATCCACAAGGGCCTGTATATTTGAGTTGTAACCAGTAAGTATTTCTCCCTTGATAAAATAAAATTGGCAGATAGTAAAAATGCTTTAAACTGATAATTAAAGTTCACTTGTAACTATGTCAAAATTAACCAACTTTAAATAAAGGGGATGTATGCAAAAGATGTTTATTCTAATTTATTTTATTATTTTAGTGCTACCTCATAAATATTTTATTGAAGAATGCTACAGAGGAGCCAAGTGAAGCTGCAAGGTAAAATAGTGAGTAAAAGAAAAAATGGGAAGCTCTTTCTTGCTACTGATTTTTTGGTGCCTGTACAGCTGAGTTGTCACTTGTGCCTTGTGGTTCGCTCCTGTTTGGATGAGTTACTCACTTTAGCCCTACTGGGATGAAGGTCACTCTGCGCCATAAAGGTGTTGACCTGTTGCATAACCTGAGAAATGGAAAAGAGAGATCACATCTTTGTGTCTGTCTTTTTTTTTTTTCCTAAATATTCTTCTAAAACTTTCTTTTTAAAAAGATGCATAGCCATTTGCGGCCTTGGAGTGTGGATATGTGAAGAACTAACACAGTGCACAAACCATCCCCAAGTGAAGGAAGCAATCAATGTCATAGGCGTGACACTGAAGGTACTACTATGACACACTGTAATCAATAAGCATTGTGTAAAAAAAGTATTTCCATTGTTTTTAAGCAGTTGCTGGTTATACAGAGCACAATCTCCTGGTTTGTCTTTCCATTGCTTAAAGCACTGACAGGATGCCGCTGAGCACACAGCTGCACAGGACCTTTTGCATAGCGTTTGTGATAGGGCATTGGCCATCTTCTAACAGATGTCTCCCAGTTCTGAAACTTTGCACGTCATTAGTAGCTCATTGTGTTCGGTGAGCACAGCTCAGAGCCTTATGGCTCCTGTGAAGTTGCTGAGGAGTATATGCACGGTTCTTCGGTGTCACCAAGGTGGTATCCTACACAAAAGTCCAAATATTTGCAAAAATAGCATGTGATTACTTACCTAAAGACCTTTTCCACAACAGACCAAGTTACATAGATGATGTCAAGCCTGCTGTTTCCTAATGCTGACAGCGTGATATTGCAGCATTAACATTTTTTATTGTTTGCATGGATGCAAAGTAATTTAAAATGTAGAACAGCTGAATGCATTGTAGTGTACCTGGATATTTTATTTGGCTTTTAAAGATCTTTTATTTTCTTCCAGTTTTCTAATAAACTGGTAGCTCAAGTAGCCTGTGATGTTCTTCAGCTGCTGGTTTCTTATTGGCAAAAGCTTCAGAAGTATGAATCCTCTCTGTCCAGAAAAATTACTGAAGTACGTGAATTTCTTTAAAATGTTTGTATGGAAATCATATGCAAAGTTGTCTTAATTCCTTACTTGAGCTAGTGTGACTGTGACTAACTTTTTCTTTCTTCTGCAATTATTATTAGGAGATGTACTTGCTGTAGTCCTAGGACCAGTGTACTTCTCTCAGTTGTAGTGATTTATTTCCAAGATGCTCAGTAAAATTTTTCGTTTCACTTGGACGTTGATATACAAGGGCAGTTAGATGCTCCCGAGAGAATTTAACCTTTTTCATACCCTGTTCAAATGAAGTTCATGCATTTATAGCAAAAGAAGTTAAATGTCTTTCTGGAATTTTGTTTATTTCAATCTAGATCCTTGTGGCCACTATTGCATTTCTTTTGCCAAGTGCTGAATACTCCTCTGTGGAAGCAGATAAAAAGGTACGTCACTGAAAAGAGCAGTCTCCGTTCTTTCTTTGTGTTGTTCAAGATGGCTATTAAACGAAGTCACGTGGGACCAGAGTCATATTCTAAACTTTCAAACGCATACCTGTAAGTTTGGGTGACTTTAATAGCATGTACCTAAGTACTGTGTTCCATGTTTCTGTTTAGTTTATAGTTTCATTGCTGCTTTGCTTGTTGGATTGGTGTATGGCATTACCCATGAAAATGTTGCTGGAGCCGGTGTTTGCTGGTGTTCTTGAAGATCAACATGCATCTAAAGCTCCTTTACTGGACTATATTTACAGAGTGAGTGTGAGGAATAAATGTAATTTATTGTGTCTAGCTGTTTAAAGATGCCTTTCACAGGTCCTGTCAGGTGCAGCCACACTTTTAGCAAGCTGTAGAAAATCTTGAATTCTTGCAGTGTGGGCAGAAGTTGTACAGATGAGAAGTTAAGAATGTGAAATGTGAAGATGGTAAGATCAGAGATGTAGAATAGGCAGAGGATGGTGAAGAGAGGTAAAATGCTTGAAACGACAAGCCAGGGAAAAAAATCTTTGCAGAAGTATTTGAATTATTTGAAGTGGGCTGTTAAAATACAAAGTAAGTTCTGAAGTGCACTGTTAAAGTACATAATAAGTGCTGACAGAGCATGCTATTTTAAAAATGCTGTATTTAGACATAGGTTTTGGGTTTTTTTTAGTATGTCCTGGCTTTCACAATGTAAAAATTATGGCAGGTCACCTCTCATTGAATGTGTTGAAGCGGGTACTGCAGTGTACTGCTTCAGTGTCGTGCTTGTCTGCTGGCAGGTTCTGCACTGCTGTGTGAATGGCTCCAGCACGTACACTCAGCAAAGCCATTACGTGCTGAGTCTGGCGGATCTCTCGTCCAGTGATTACGACCCATTTTTACCGCTGGGGAACGTCAAGAGCTCTGAGCCAGCCCAGTGCCACTCTTCCACGGATTTGGGCAACCTGCTCACTGTCGCCGAGGGTAAGAGTTCACAGAGCATGGCAAGGACCAGAGTGTCAATGTTCAGCAGCTAGGAAATAAAGCTTTCCAGGTTATATCTCTTCCTTGAAAATGTGCTTCTCCTTACTGCGCCTAGCAACTATTCCTTGAAAACTGGGCAGAGTCCTTTTTTAAATGAATTTCAGTTGCCTCTGTAATTAGGATGTTCAGGTTTGTTGCTGACATTGCCCTTTACAAAGATCACAGGAGAAAGAAAATGACACTAAGGTGCTGTAAAGCAAGAAATTTGTACAGACATAGGATAGACAGAGAAGCTGGTTTTGCCTTTGCTACTACTTATAATTTAGGATAGAATAGCTATAGTATAGAATTAAATACAACAAATAAGGTAAGCCCCAAATCAAACTTCTTTCAGAAACGTGCAACTGCCCTTCTTGAATTTTTCAGTAGAAATTACTCCATTGTCGTAGATAATTTGCCTGTTCTGAGTGATTTGAGAAGAACATGTATAATTTGGACTAAATTCTGCAGCTGCATAAATACACCGTTCCTGCTG